CCGAATTAATTCAACTTTTACTATGTGGACGCTGCCTCTAGCTCCCGAGACTTGGACACGAAGTCCGTGAACTCCCCGTTGGCCCCTGGAATGATGCCTCTGTCAAGATAATTGATTAGATTTGTTACAATCAAAAGAACCATGATCGCTTTCTCATTTATTTCGACACGAACCATGGTAGTCAGGACGATCGCGCTCGGCTACATTAGTATTTAATAATTGGGAAATCGCATTTACGGCAGTACAATATGTTTCCGTCCACTTGGCCTTTCGTATCTCCCAGCGGCGAGCTGGGAGAGGACCACCACAACCAGCAGCTTTATTTAGCTGGATGATGGTAGGTGGTCTAAACTCACTAAACCCGTTACCGGAAACATATTGTACTGCCGCAAATGCAATTTCCGTCCACTTGGCCTTTCGTATCTCCCACTAGCCTGAGCTAAAGGAAGCAAACCAGACGTATTTCTCCAGCGCCGACCAGCCCCGCCGACGCCGTGCGGCAGCTGTCGGACGACCTGAGCCAGATCTCGGCCGGCACGTTCGGCATGCAGTACGTCCACACCGCGGCGACCTACTCGATGGCCATGCTCGACGAGCTCAACAACGCGCCCGAGCTGCCCAAACTCGAACCCGGCCACCGTCATCTCGCCGCCGCTCAACGGCTTGCGGTCCTGCGGTCCCAGGGTGCTCCGTAATAGGCGAAGTGGAATGTTGTGGGCATAGAATGATCCTCTCCACTCTCCCCAGTTGGGGTGGTAAGAACCCTTTTCAACTCGGCTGTAGTGGGGATCTTACCCCCGTCCGCTGTGTTCATGTCTTGTACAATAGTTTGCAGAAGCGTGTCGAGCTCTGCGCCTGCCGGGGGGGCCTGCCTGCGCGCTTCGCGCCACTCATTCCCGTGTCAATGCTTCCGTGTGCACCGCTCGAGCGACGACAACCATTTAATTTTCGGCGGGGGGAAGGGCACGCACAACTCGTCCTTAATGCTATAGGATTCTCTACCAAGAATTTACCAGGTCCTCTTTATTACATAGGGAACGACCGCTGTAACTTGNGCCGACGCTGCTACTTGCGCCGACCGTTCAC